GGGTTGTCCTTTGTCAGAGCAATCGACGACTGAGTGGTCGAATTTGATCGGGTTTTTTCCTCGAGACCTCCCTGACCTTGGTCAGCTACAGTCATGATCGAATTCGGGTCCTTCTCCGGCGGGTTCATGATGCTATCCTTCATGTTGGAGTAAATTTAATTCCTGTTTCAACAACAACAACTGTTTGGTACAGTTTTGGTTTGGAGAAGCGTGTGGAAGAATATTTTCTACCTTTTTGTTTTTGATTTTTGATTTCTGAGTTTTATGCAAAATGACAATTGATGGTCAACAAAAATCTACGGCGACAAAATGCTAAATGAAAGGAGTTTGACTACAACGTTGGTGGCAAAGTTTTGATCAAGAATTTCAATCCAAGTAAATTGGATCCAAAGATGGAAGGTCCGTATCAAGTTACTCGTGTGTTTACTAACGGAACTGTTGAAGTTCACAGGAGTCCTCAAGTCTTTGAGAGACTGAACATACGGCGTCTTGTGCCGTTTCGTCGAGTCTAGCAAGCGATGAGTTTGAATCGCCTGTTGCGTCAAGAACCACCTCTTGTATGAACTGTGGATGCCTCACCGCGATTGATTCTCAACTGATCACCGCTCAGTGCTTCTGCTTCGTCGACGACACGGATGTGATCGAAGCGGGCAAGTCCGTGGAACAATCTGGCGAGGATATATGCCCCTCCGTCCAACAAGCGGCTTCCACGTGGGCTGGAGGCATTAGTGCTACTGGGGGGGCAATTAACCCAGAAAAGTCCTTTTGGTGGTTGATTGACTTTGTGTGGGACTCCAGAGAGGGCAAATGGAGGTTCCGCCGGACGCACCAACTTCTACCGGATCATCCATTACAAATACCTGCACTGACTGGCGAATTGGAAGCCTTACGCCGTCTGGAGCCGGATGAGGCAGAGAAAACCTTGGGGGTCATGTTGGCCCCATTGGAAGATCAACATGCTCACGTCGTCCACCTCAAGAGTATCGCCAAAAAGTGGGCTGAGCAAGTGCGATCGGGGCATCTACACAAATACGATGTCATTCCCCTTATCAAGACAACAGTGATGAAATCCCTGGAATATCCTATGGTGTTAACTACACTGGATGCTGCGACATGGGTGTCGATTATGAGTCCTGTTCTCCAAGTCTGCCTGCCGAAGGCCGGCATATGTAGGAGCTTTCCTCGTGACATGGTTCTTGCCCCTCTCAAATTCCATGGTCTGGGCATCCCCCATCCGTTTGGTACTCAGGTGTCTAAACATATTGAGGTCCTGCTTTGCCACTTGTCCAACCGAACAAAAACTGGGGCATATATGGAGGCTGCGGTTCAAGAACACCAACTTGAGACCGGCACCTCCTTTGGACTCTTCCAGCAGGACTATAGCAACACGGCAATTTTGGCGTCAGATACTTGGCTCAAAAGAGTCTGGAAAGAGTTGGAGGACTTGGATATCTACGTTGCTCTTGACTCTCCTGTCCTCCCTCTCCGGTGCAAAGGCGATGCCTTGCTCATTGAGGTATTCATGGAGTTGGAAGTGGATCAGGACGCTCTAAAGTGGCTCAACTGGTGCCGTATGTTCCTCCAAGTTTGCACCGTCTCCGACATCGTGACGGCCGATGGCCGCAGCATACGAGAGTCCATGTGGCATGGGGAACGTGACTACGCTCATCGGTCGTCATATCAATGGCCTCGCACTGTCCGGCCCAACAGGAACCACTGGAAGGTGTGGCAGGAACACCTTACTCGAGCACTACTTGTCTCTGACGGACCCCAGCGCCTACTGCGTCATCCTCTGGGCCCATGGATCGATCCTCTCGACAACTGGAACTGGTTATGGTCTTCTACCCACGGATTGTTCCACCGCCAGGGCCACGGGTGGCAACACTACCGTCACCGTCGCTCCTCCACACGGAGCATTCAATGGGACTATCCTCGTTCTACGCAATTGTCCGGGTGCAAACGACCACATAACGAGCATACCGACAACGGCGTCAGCTTCTTGCCAGCCCCCTTTTGGACCCAACCACTCCCAGCTGACTTGTGCCGAGCTACCGTCCACATCACACCTTCGCTAGGCACTCTAGCCCTCACCGGCATTGGGACAGCACCGCTGCAGCCGCATCACGACTCTCAACCGTCCTTGCTGGCCGCCTGGATGGCCGCCTCCGCCAGGGTGACCGAGTATGTTGGCTGGACCCCTGAAGAAATTGAGATCGATGGCGACGAAAGCCTCCTTGCTGCAGCCCTACTCGAAGACCGGCTGTGTGTGATCAGCGACGGTTCTTATAAGCTCGGTCTGGGCACGGCAGCGGTTCAACTGCTTCCACGTAAGGGTGGCACGGAACCTATTATTGTTCGGTGCCAGACTCCAGGTCTAACTGATGACCAGAGCGCATACCGGAGTGAATTGATTGGCCTACTGGCCGGTATCATGGTTGTTGATTGGCTCCTGGACCAGTGGGCCCCAACACTTCGATCACCACCCCGCGTTAGGATTGGGTGCGATGGATTTTCGGCGTTGCTCAACACCTTTGGTGACAACCGAGTCACACCGCAACAAGCCCAGTTTGACCTGGTCTCCTCTATCCGGGAGGCACTTGCCCGCTCTCGGGCCTCGTGGGAACCTAGCCACGTGTACGGTCACCTTGATACGGCGACATCCTTTTCGTGCCTCTCTTGGTGGTCCAAACGGAATGTGGAAGTGGATGCGTGGGCGGTGGCCTATCGCCACCAGCTCGAAGCTTCACACCGATTGCTTGCACCTAACGCTCGTTTCTTTACCAAATTGGCTGCCCTCTACATCGGGGACGTCAAACAGTCGCGATTGAATCCAGAACAGGTCCAGGAACTGGTGGCGCTGCCTGCTCTACGCAAGCGATGGCACGAGCGGCAGACGATTACACCAGAGGCAGAGCTGGAGACCGATTGGACCAGTCTGGCTCGCGCCATGAGCTCCCTTCCGGCAGGTGTCCAACGTTGGACCACAAAGCATGTCGTGGGTATGTGTGGTGTAGGGAAGTTCAAAGTCCGGTGGGGTGCCGCAGACTCAGCTGCATGTCCCTGCTGTGGCGAGTTCGAGGACCACCTTCACGTTCCTCGATGTACGGCGCCCTCGGCGAGTGCGGAATGGGAGCGCTGGACGGCGTTGTTGGACCAATGGTTGGACACCCAAGTCACTGACCCAGCCATCAAACACGCTATCCTCTACCTTCTTCAAGGGGTTCGTGATCCGTCCCTACCTCGCAGTCGGTTGGTTCCGGTTCGTCTTCGCCGCGCTTTCCTCTCCCAACAACGCATCGGCTACCAAGGTTTATTGGAAGGCCGGCTGTCTGTTCAGTGGGCGGCCCTGCAGGAACAGTACCTTCAGTCACGAGGGAGCCAACGCTCTCCGACCCTGTGGGTCTCTCGCCTGTCGCATCAGCTGATCTTGCTTGGATTTCATATGTGGGAACACCGGAACTCGGTGCAACATTCGGAGGACAATGTACAGCTACGCGAACGTAGCCGATTGGCGAACGATGGTATAGACTCTCAGTTTGATATGGGCCCAACCAACCTCCCCAAGGTAGTTCAACGCATGCTTGCTGTGAAACGCCGAACTGTGTTGAACAAGCCGTTGGTCGATAGGGAAGAGTGGCTGAAGCTGGTTAGAATGGAACGCACGGCCTACCGCCGCGCTCTGGCGCCCCAACGCCGTATCCTTCACCGCTTCTTCCACCCGGCCCAGGCCCCCTAATCCCGTTTCGAGGAATCAACGCCCTGAAATCACCCCGCCTTGTCGCGGGTAGAGTTGGGATCCCCTTGATCCTGACTAGAGCAACTTCTGTCCACCAGATGTCTCAAATGGTTCAAACTAGTTGTTGACTCGTTGCTTCACGGTACTTGACCTTTACAGTCGCTTATTCCACCGGCAATCGTATGCGCTAGATAGCATTTAATTGATTAATGTTTCAGTTATTATTATGAACTGTGGATGTAAGGGCGCCTTTGTGACTACACTTTGATACGGAATGATATGATAATACTATGATCTGCGACAAGCTTTGATCATAGAGTGAAACGGCCCATAGAACAGGCCCAAGGTATTGGGACTGTAGAAGCTCCTTCGGTTGGGTACAGAACTAGACCTTTGTCAAAAGGTCCACGTAAGCACTTTGAAGTGCATCTCTATAGACATCCATAATTTTCTCTGTGACTCTTTTGTGAAGGTTGGGTTAATACTTGCCTTTTCTTTGGAAATGGGTTGCCTTCCATCCGGATTGCCTCGCAAACATCATTTCATTCCGGGACAATGCGCACCATGTGACATTGAACTCTTGTCCGTCACGTAGCTTCACGGTGCATTGCCTACGCAATGGTACTGGTCGCACAATAGACTTACTAGGAGGATGATAAAAGTAAAGGAAAGTTGATAGACGTTCGTAAAAGGAAATCTAGAAAGTTGTGTTGATGTGTGTGGTCCATCACCGATCCTGTACGTTACTGCGTACAGACTATGCATGCGTATCTAATAGCATGGTGACCTTTATTTGGTCCCCTCAACCTAAGGATCAATGTGATCCATAGGTTGCTCAATAAACCCAAGAACCAAAAAGGTTTTCTCTCCTCATCTGTGTTAACCTCTTTGTAAATGCATCTGCAATATTGATTGCACCATCAATCTATGAAACTGCAATCACCCGAGCTGCCACATTCCAACGTGCATAATGATAATAAGCAATTGAATTGTGCTTTTTGTTCAACGTAGATTCTACCAACAACAAGTTTTTAACAACCGCTTCATTGTCCACCAATACCTGTGTTGGTTCCTCATCCAGTGGGATCCCAAACATACGCAACTTGTAGCGTAAGTGCGTAATTGCTTCAATACATGATTTCAGAGCAATGAATTCAGCCCCAAAAGTGCTGGCCTCCACTGTATTCTGCCTCTGGCTGTGCCAAATAATAGGCGCCCTATTCAAAAAGATGACATAACCGGTATGCGATCTATGAGTCTTCTTGTTTGCTGCATGCGAGGCATCAACGTATGCCAAGCTTCCCACTCGCCTACCTCTTGGTTTTGGCATGTTCAATGGCAATTGTTTGTCAGCATCTTGGTATAGAGTACGGAACTCTTTGTACAATGACTGCGTTTGGGATTCTCCAATCAAAGTATAGGGTCATCTTTGGGTGTTGATCCAAGTAGGCAAAAATCCGCAACAATTGTTCCATGTGTCCTTCCCTTGGCCCTGCCTGGTATTGACTCAAAAGGGAAACTTCCAGTAGAATATCAACGCGTCCGATCTCCGTGTCCCACCTTAAGACCCCAATCAATTCTTGAAAGTATGTGTGATCATGTGCGTTTAACTCACTTGAACCGTCTAGCTCTGGTGTATAATTGCTATTCATTGGAGTGACGGCTTTCTTTGGTAAGTTCCACCTCTGATTGTCTTTCGGGGTTACTTTGACATTCTTCACAGCAGCTGTAACATAATCATAACTGGACATAGTCCACATGTGCTGACCGTCTAAAACCTTTCTTTTGACACCCGCTCCAAAGTAGCTTTCAGGCTGGAGCTGAATGCTAATGCAGCAGATTTCAAACCATATAATGCTCGCCTAACAATGAATGTTTTGCCCTCTTCGTCTCCAAATTCAGGGCCCGCAATCATGTAACATTTTTCAAGATTGGGTGCGGTGAGGAAAGCATTTTGAATATCAGCGCACTGGACATCCAAACCATTCAATGCTGCAATGGTGAGTAATATTCGCACAGAATCTCGGGCTACCACAGTGCTGTATGTCAGTGCTGCTGGCGCTTCTGTTCTGTGTCCATCAGCGCAATATCGAGCCTTTCGTCGGAAGTTCTCACCAAGTTTGACATCAAACACCATGTGACCAGTGATGCGTTTGTATCCAATTAGCTTTTTGATGTCCCCGCCAAATTCCTCAAAGGCAACTCGATTGTTTTTCATTTCCATTTTGATGGCATCTTGCCACAAGGTATCACCATTTT